GTGATTTGTCCATAGTAGCCGATGTGTGTTCCATCCTGCATGAAGTGCCATTCAGAAGAAACCCTGAGGTGTGAGTTTATTGGCCAGGGAATGATCTCCACCGTTCCTTCTTCCACATAAAACTGCAAGACTTTCTCCATCAGATGGCTGCAGTTGTTCTTATAGATCACCACTTTCTGCGCCCCAAGAATCTTGTACATCTCCACGCTCTGGATGAACTGCAAGACGTTGTTGTAGTTCCCGAACATGGTCGAGATGCACACGGTGAAGTCAACAGAAAAGCCCTCAGCCTTGCGGTTCTTGATTTCAAACACGGGCAGCTGCTCGACATTTCCATGCGGAGACTGATGGATGGATACGTGTGTCGGATCGCAGGTTTGGGGTTCCAAACAAACTATGTCTGTTGCACCGTACGGGAATCCAAACCTGTCTGAGTGAACGTCAATTCTTGCTTTGGATACGTATACCTGCCCGTCGGGCTGGCAGCAGAACCAGCAGTAGAGCTGCTTCACGTCTTCGTGGTGAACAATCCCAATCACACGGGTGACTTTGCTTTCTCTGTCGTCAAAGTAGGGGGATATAATAAAAGTCCGGTTGTCTTCTAATGGTGTTATTGTGCTGTTGGCAATTTTCCCTTCACATCTGCCACCTTCTTGAATTATTTTTGGCAGGTGAGAAAGTCTCTGTAACTTAAGATACGAGAGTGTGACCATTGAAGTCAGAGTAATAATGCACACGGCAGCGGCAAAGCGAGATCTTTTCCCACCACACAACATTCTGAACGTATCGAAAGGGGGATGCACATTTCTTTGTCCTTGCACTTTATGCCGCCGCATCTGCAGAAAAGAAAGTATGTCGTGTGAGATCACACTGTGAAATTCTTAAGCAATGATTGTGAGTCAAACCTCTGTCCCTGTGCACTGACTTAACCAGAGGCCCAGCTCTGAAAAACCGGTCACAGCACACACCTCCAACGGGATGGACGATTCCGTGCGTGACGCGCTGAGTGCCACAGTGTCGGAGGTGTGGAACGGTTTCTGTATATGAAGCGTTCCATGGCAGAATGTGATAGAGGCCTATGTACAGGCCAACAGGAAGCTACGATTCATTATTTTCTATTATCCAAATCTAAGAACATCCAATTAAATAATTAGGCAGTAATTATTAAAGAAAAGCAAAAGGCTTTTTTTCTCTCCTCTGCACGGCGTGTGTGTAAGCTGCCCCTCAGCCGCACTTCCCACACACGAGCTGGCGGCAGACACATAAATTACATTTCTGCAGAATTAATCACGTTCATAAAAACCCACGGCAGTTGGGGATTGCACACGATGGTCCAGATACAACCTCTAATGTACAGAATTCCAAACCAGCAGTTCACCATGGATGAGACAATCCAGACTGAGGAAGGTCAATTCATTCAATCCCACAGCAGGCCAGGGTATAAATCTGAGGGTGTAAAAGTTGTTCCCCCCACACTGCTCCAGGCAGGGCTCGTGGGGAAGGTGACTTCTGGGCCTCCTCCCCACCCACTGCTTCCGGCTCAGTGGGGGTCAGGGCTCCTGCTGCTGCAGGAACAGGGAGGGATCCCCAAGCACCTTCATGCCCAGTGCCTCCCAACACACTCACGCCAGCAGCGTCGCTGCCTGACCGGGAGCTTGTGGCTCTCCCAAGCAGTCCCTGCTGCAGGAGGGCCTCTACAAATCCATCCTTGGGCATCCCTGGGCAGTAAGGTGACAGCAAGCCCCTCCAAAGGCCTGCTTGTACCACTCTTCTTACAAGAAGAGTGCTCCAGATTAATCAAATTCCCATTGGATGAGACAGCCGGACTGGCAGAAGAGAGCATCCCTGACTGCCAGCAAGAAGTGTGGGGTAAAATGCCGGGATGGAGAGAACTGAGGCTATTGCACAAGACGAAGGAAATGTTTCTCAGGTGTGTTGTTGCTGCCTGAAGCCAGCTGCTGCGAAAAAAGTCACACCACTAAAAGCCCCAGATCCCTAGGTATGTTTTTTACAGCTGAAAAAGGTAGCGGTGTCACAGGCGTAACAGATACTGGAAGATTCTTGTGGTTTTTATCCTTTCACTTACTTCTCAGTACTCTTAATAAAACCACTTGCTAAGTACGTTGTGAGTGAGTCTCTCCAGAGCATGTGCGTAGGCCCAGTATCTAACAGCACTTTTTCCAAAGCATTACTCAGCATATTCTAAGATAATAATTAAACCTAATATTTCATACTGGTTTTCGCATTTCACACAGTACAAACCTATTGTGAGAGCCTCTATCTCGATACTAGTTTGTGATGGAACAGAAAACAAGTGTTTTCAAAGAAAGTATAAAAGATGGAAAAAGTAGAAAGAACCTAAATCCACAGTTTTGACTCAGATATCACACTCTGCAGCTTTCTAACTTTGGAAGTGTCTAAATTCACTGGCAACTCCACTGCTCGGCTAGAAAAATTCCCCAGAGACTGGTTTTCTCCTTACAGTATTTCCCACACAGTACAATCCTGAATCTCGCTGCGGTTAGGCAAACAATAGTCGCCCTTGCCCTCAGAAAAAACGTGCAATAGTTCCACAATTGCTCTTTCCCAAAAAAGCAAAGTCAGAACTATGGCCACAACACGGCCTTGCAAGGCCCCCCCGCCCCCACCGAGCCGCCGCAGCCTTTCCCGGCACCGCAGAAAGGGCCAGAGAGCCCGCTGCCATCACCCTGGGCACAGCACCACCGCCACGCGGCACCAACTCGTGTGTCCCCCGGACGGAGAGCTGCCCCCAGACCCCCATACCGGCCAGAGCTGACCTGCTGCCGCACAACTCTCTGCCGGAGACCGGCCGCCGAGAACGACTCTGAACAAGTCCGATGTTGCAAGTCTCCCTCTGACTTCAGAACCCTTCATAAAAAAGTTCTCCTTCAGCACTCTTATTCCCAGGCCATGGATACATTTCAGCTTTCTTCCCACATCAAGTAGGCTATGTTTACACTTTTCCCCGGTATTACCTATTTGTGACTTAAATATATTGTTCAGTCTTACAGAATAAACCGTATTTACTAACGAAATACCAGAACATGTCAACATGAAATACTACAATTAATTTATTACCTGTTATTTCTGCTGCTTTTCCCAGCTATAAATAATGAACAATAAAAAAGTATCTTTTCACCTGTGTTTTGACCGGGGAACATCTGAAAGGAAAAGGTACCTGTTAAAGGAGCCAGCTGAGTGAAGTTCTGCTCGGTCCTCCGTTTATTTTTCACTACGGTACAGTCTACAGATTGTTTATTCTAACCAGATAAAAACTTAAATGTTTTTTAAGATAAATGTCAAGATTTGCTCAGTACAGAAAACCAGATGCTGGTGCGGCAGCCGGCTGGGCTCTGCTGGCCCTAACGGCAGCCACACCTACCAGAAAAACAAGTTCTTCTTCTCTTGAGCAAAGCACAGGGTTGCCTCCCGAGAACTTCATTTAAATTACAAACTGGAGAGTGGAGCTGTTGAAGCAAATCAAACCCAGATGCTCCGGTGATAGTTTCCTTCTGTACCTGACTCCTGCAGGTTGCTGTCTCCGCACTTCACGCGCATACCCAGACCTAGGAGGAGAGACCGTATCTCTGTACTTCTTGGGCACTCGTTTTCCAGTAACATCCAAATTAAAACAGGTAAACACAGATTCTGATGAGGAACTGTGAGAACACTCTGAAACCACAGCGGGTTCTAGAGGCAGAGAAAAAGAGCAAAATACAGCACTCAAGGCACACAGAATCTAAAAAATAAATACATAATTATTTGAGGAGTGAAATCCGTGGCTCTCCCAACACATGGCTCATGAATTTTGATGCCCTAAAACCAACAGCACAGCTCTATAGTCAGAATATACATAAATTCAGATTAATTAGGAACATTACATTTATGTTTCGTCATTACAGAGAGTACCTGACAAATTTTAATTTCAAAAATACGCTCCCGGCATGTTTACGAGCGTTTATTTTATAATAACAATAACAACAACAATAATTAGTTCTGGTTTTGTGTCTTTTAATTCCAACCGCTATTCAAGTAGAGCAGTAGACACAAATTATGCAGATTTGCTTCAATCCTAAATTAGCTAACGGGATCGATGGCTACTTTGCACCAATTCGTTCTTTTTCAGTATTCCCCTTAGCAGCGAAAGGCCCTTCTTCCTCTCTGTAGCATTTCCGACCGCACTCGTATCACTTCCTACTCTCCATATTTGCTACTTTCTCATTGCACAAGACGGGCTGTTGTAACACCATCTCCTAAGAAACACTCTGCCGTGGCCCGGCGCTCCCGTGACCAGTTGCCCAGTTTCAATTAACCTCTAGCACAGCAGACCAGAAACCCCTGTTCCTTCTCCCTCTGTACGACAGCTCTCACCATTGTTGGGAATTTGCTTACTTAACATATGCTGGGATTATATTTTCGGCAGCCGCACCACATCATGGCACAGGCACATCTGAGCTTGTCATCAGCCAACAACTGACACACCCACCCAGTCTCTCGGCCAAGCGCAGTTACACAACGTGTTTTCTTCTGCAGCAAGGCCCTAATAAAGGGCCCTTGTCCCAGTTGGAATCATAGAACCATCAAATGGTTTGGGCTGGACAAGACTTTTAACCATCACATAGTTCCACCCCCCCGCTGTGGGCAGGGACATCTTTCACTAGACTGGGTTGCTCAAATTAATCACATTTCTCCTTATTTCTTCTATCATCCTCCTAAAACCAACTCTACAACCTGGCATGTCACCAGGGTTGCACTTACAAACTTGTGTATACTTAAACCATCTTTTTTTCCCTTCCTAAACCGAGGTACAGCTTGCGCTTTCTTCCACCACCCTGTACCACCCTGTTCCCGACACATTTATCAACCCCCCGTTACAGGTTCTGCAGCAGCGTGTTAGAAATCGGGGATGGCAGCGAGCCAGCATCACCTTCGACCTGGAACGCTGCTGTTACCTTTGCTGTACAACTCATTTTCCAGACCTTCTTTCCCAGCATCTTTCCTTAAGCCTCCACCATTGGCACTGTCCTTACTGAAAGGTGAAGTGCTGATCTAGGTTTAGAGCCATCCCTAGGCCACTGTTCCCCCCCCGCGTGCTCTCAGCGTTGTGGCCTTCCTTCGTGACTCCTTTCCTTTGCACTGAGACAGCTGAAGACCTTTCACGCTGCTCATTTCATTACCTTCGCAACATCTGCTCCCAGGTTAGTTTTTGATAACTCTCCGTCTGTCCTGCTCTAGGGTGAGGATAGGGGGCACGTGACAAGTGGTGATTACAAATTTTCAGTCTCCAACACACAGGATTAGATTCAGTAGCACAGAACCGATGAACAGCCTAACCCTTGGTTTATCCAGGGTCTAACTAAAAAGCCACCACAACACAGAGCCTTCTTAATTTATTAATTTAGGAGAAAGTTAGTCTATATCCTCTGCTTTATGGTTTTCACCAAAGTAACACAAACCACAGGTGCTTAAACAAAACTTAAAATTCCGAAGACTAACAATCATTTCCCATCTTCAGCCAGGCTGCCTGTTGCCAACCTTGCGACAGCTTGTCTTCTTCAGGATGGCTCTTTGAAACGCCAGCGTTCTCCCTCTCCTGCACCGTCCAAGTCAGAGCCACATCCTCGGGAGGGTTAAACCGAGGGCAGTATTATCCCACTGTTCATAATAATGCTCTAAAAAAACATAAGCTGGG